TCAGCAATAGAGAGAATCTGGGTGACTCAGCACCAGCTGTTGCGGGGAAGGGCTCAACACGACATGCATTGGCCTCCCTCTCAGGCTTGCAGTGAGCTTCCCGCAATTAGCTGCTGTGTGCTCTTGAACCATGCTCACCACCAAAAATCCTCGCAGGTTGTTGCGGGCTGTCTGCTGCTGCAAAAAACCCTCTGTGGCCTGCGGAGGTGGGTGCCAGGCATCAGGGGCTCAGGGTGCCCCTGGCAACACAGCTCTAGGTGGGCAGGGCAGGCCCCCAAGGCACCACAGGATGTGGTCAGTGGCCCCCAACAAGTCAGAGCAGCATGCACTCCTGCACCGGCACCCAGCCCGCACAACCTCGCCAGGGAAGCCCCAGCCAGATCATGCAGGCACACAGCTCATGACCCAACACTCCCAGGAAAACTCCCAGTCTCAACCTGTCCCAATCAGCCTCTCACAGATCAGGCAGAGCAGCCAGACAGTCAATCGCCAGCCTGGCAACTCTGCATGTGCAGTGCGGAGAGCGGGAACCTAAGGCGGCTCCCGCACTACCACGTTTCAATGAACAATCTGTTGGAGCCGGAGCACACCCACCAGGCGTTTCCCTGGCTATGCAGCACAACCAGTGCAGAGGGTGGGGATCCGAGGCCACATGCGCGCACATGCACACACGCACTCCTATGCCAATTCCACCAAACCAATGCGGTCCCGGACCTTGTGGGAGGGCCCAACCCTGAAAAAATGGCGCCCTCCTGTACACTACTCATGTGTAAGCTCCACACTAGGAGAACAATGGTCCCAAAACCTCCAGCTCCCGCACCAAATGTGCTCAGTTCAGTCCTTCCCCACAGGCTCCTGGGCCTCGCTCACACAGCTACTCCCTCCACCAGGGACCAGGTGAGTGCTCACGAGCAAGCAAGTCCGTTTGCTGGCTCCACTGGTTCTCTAGCCGCCCTTAGCCTCACTGAGTTGAGCAAAGAGAGTCCTTACTAATTGCTACTGCCAGCTATCGTAGAACTCCTCTTCCCGGCAAAGTAACTCTGGGCTGGTGAGCTTCGTATGGAGTCGGAAGGTCTCTCCCCCAATGGGAGAAGCCTCCCCACTGCTGAGGTGTCCCTCACGGGGTTCACCCTCTCTCGTCTCCGCCCCTCCTACCAGACTTGACATGGCCTCCTCTTTAAGTCCTTCATGTAGAGGTTCTGTTCATCTAGAGTTCAGGGGACTTCCGAGGTTGAATGTTGTATAAATGATTTGTAATTTTGGTGTGATCCCCCCACCACTTTTAATTCTGGTAACTCTCCTCAAAGATAACCATTCTTAAAACCTTCCTGAAAAAAGGTTATGATTTCAAAAATTAAATTAACATATACTTTAAAAAATTAAAAGAAATGAGATCATACTCTATGCACCATGTTATTTTCCCCACTTAGTAATATACTTTTATCCTCACCCTTTTGGTACATGCAAATCTACTGTGTCCATTTTCATGGCTGCATATTATTCCACTGGACCAAAATCTCATTATGCAACCAATTCTGTACTGATACACACTTAAGTGTTTCCAGTATTTCACTACTATAATAATGCCGCAACTGAACATCTTGTCCATATATATCAACAGTGTCTTTCAAGTAAATCAGTAGTGTTATATGCTAGAAATCCTTGGTGAAAGATTATACATATTTCAAATGCAGATAGATATTACCAAACTGTCCTTATGCATCAACTATATGTGGTGTGCTGACTCCCGACACCCTTAATGACACCAGAAATTACCAACTGTTTTAATTTTACTAATCTGTCAAGGGAAATAGTGTATCTAGCTATCGTTTTGATTTACATTTCTTTACCTATACGAGAAACTTAGCATCTTTCTATTGGCTATCTTTATTTTTTGTAACGTGAACTACCCATTTTTCTACTGTACTATTTTTCTTTTCTTATTCATTTATATAAACTCTTTGTAAATAAGCCCTTCACTACATGTATTGCAAATAACTTCCTCTTTTTACAAAGCAGTTTTTTATATTTATGTACTATTTCTTCTTTTCCTGTCATGATTTGTAGCCATGCTTCTGTGTTTGTTTCTACTTAAAGGCTCTTCCAAGGTCAAGACTACAAATTTTCTTCTTTTGTACTTTCATGGTTTCATTTTTTAATATTTAAATCTTTAATCCACCTGGAATTTATTTTGACAGAGGAATGAGATAGGGATCTAGCTTTATTTTTTCCTAAAGACCTAATCAGTCGTTATTTTTTAATGAATTATCCATCTTAATATACAATGCCAATTTTATCCTATGCTAAATCTTCTGGTGTATTCTGGACTTTCTCCACTGTTCCATTGGATTGCCTATTTCTTCACCAGTTCCAAGGTACTTAAGGTTAGTTCCTTGGTTACTATTTTTCAGAAATTTCCTGGTTATTCTAGAATATTTATTCTTCTATATCAGGGTTTATCAACAGCAGTACTATTGACGTTTTGGGCTAGATAATTCTTTGGGGGGGAGGGGCGCAGCCCTATGCATTGTAGGATGTTCAGTAGCATCACTGACAGAGGTCAGTAGCACACCTCTAGTTATGACAACCAAAAATGTCTGCAGACATTGCCAATTATTTCCTGGGTTGGGGGCAGGGCAAAATCGCCCCTGACTGAGAACCACAATTTTAGATAAACCCAGTATCATTTTATCAGTGTATCCACATCCAAATTCCCAGTGATATTTTAATTGAAATGAAAGTGAATTCATAGAATTTAGATCTTTTTATATTTAATATATTATATTTATTATATTTAATCTTTAGTATATTTAATCAGCTTATCCAAGAACCATGAATATCCTTCTACTTATTTATGTCTTCTTTCATGTCCTTTAAAAGAGTTTTAAGATTTTTTAAAAAAGGCTCTTATACTTTAAGTTTATTCCTAGGTATTTTACCTTTTTCATTCCTTTATAAATGAGATCATTTCTTTTTTTTTTTTTTTAAAGATTTTTATTGGGGAATTGGGGGGATGGGAACAGTGCTGGGGAATTGGGGGAAGGGGAACAGACAAGTTGCTGTCGTTTTTTTTTGTTCTTCAGTCTAGTTGTAGAGGACGTTGCTTCACTGGCCCAAGTTGGCACCTTCATTGCGCTCTTCTCTGGCGAGGCATGAGATCATTTCTTATGTTATCTTTTCTAACTAGTCACTGATAAGAAAGCTATTGATATTTTATATTCTACAACCAATCACTTACTGAACTCTTACTGTACCTAATAGATTTTCAGAATATTCTAAGTTTTTTCCTAATGATATAATTTTGAGGAAATTCTAAGCATTTTTCTAAGCATACAATGTTATTATATGCATAAAATCATCATTTTGTTTCCTCATTTCTAATATATATAGCTATAGCTCTTCTGTCTCACTGCTTTAATACTTGCAGAAGAATTTAAATGACAGTGGTGATAGTAGGCAACCCTGAATCATTCTTGATTTTAATGGGAATACTTCTAGGATTTCACCATTAAGCAGAAAGCTTCTTTGAGATACATATATTTTATATCACTAAAGTAGTAGTCATACATCTATAGTCTACTAAGAGTTTGTTCTGAAATCAGAAAGACTGCTAATTTTGTCAAATGCATCTTCCGTCTCTAGAAATGACTATATGGTTATTCTTCCTTAGTCTATTAATATTGTATGATAGATTAGATATACCTAGATTTCCTAATATTAATCCATTCTTGGATGGTGTAAGTCCACTTGGTTATGATGTGCATTATTATTCTTTTAGTTTCTTGTTGAAGTCTATTTGCTAATATTTTGACCTCATATTTTTGCATCAATATTTGACAGTGAGATCATTCTGTCATTTTTTAGTAGTGTTTTGTTAACTTTTGGAATTAGTGTTAGGCTGGCTTGATGAAAATAAGTGTACTTTCATTTGTTGTATTTTATTTTATTTATTTATTTTTTACTTTGTTTTAAAGTTTGTAGCAGAGGATAGTTCTATTGGAGCAGAAAGTTACAGCTCTCGAAACGGGGGAGGGGGTGGCCTTACTGGGATGCTCCTGTTGTATTTTAAAACCAAATATGTGTATTTAGTATGAAACCAGTCTTTAAAATTATAGTAAAACCATTGTATAGAAACACAAGGCCATTTCCCCTACATCCTAAAAAAAAGCTACATATACTCTTCATAGATTCAACTTTTTGAAGACTGAATAAATTAAAATATACCCTTGGAAAGCTAATCTGGATTATGATATTTTATGTAAAAAGTGCAAAAATCATTAAGTATGCTACTATTCAACACTATTATAAATTAATAATGACATATTTCAGCCATTTTCCCATCTTACACAATTTAGCAATACACAGAGCTGCATTATAAGAGTTAGACCACGGAAAGCTTAGCTTTCTTATTTATGTGCTCCAAAGGAAAGTTAAATACATTGTTTGATGTTTTAAGTTTCCCATGCTCTGAACTCAAATATAATGGTTATAAAAAGCCTTTTCTGTTTCTCAAAAAGAATAGTAACACTGAGAAAGTTCACAGTTCCAGTGGCCACTGCCATCTACGTGACTCCGATGTTTAAGTGAGGATCATCCCAGTTTTCCATACAACATTGTACACCAACCTCTGCGAGGGACCTACAGGGCTCATTCACTCATCTAATGCACACTGCACCAAAACGACCCTAGAACATATACCGTCTTGCCTGGATTTCACACACTCATTGTGACAGATGGACAACTAGATGGACAGTGGGACCCACAGCACTCCCTATTACCTTTTTGTTTCTCGTCTGTCTCCCCATTAGATATAAACTCCCTGCGGGCAGGATGATGTTATCTAAAACAGCTCCTGGCCCAGAGTAAGTACTCAGTACATATCTGATGAAGGGAAGGGATGCACCAACACTAAAGGACCCGTCTGCCTGGGTCCCTCCAACCTGGACCCCTCAGATCTGAGTTTTTCTGACCTGGGTCTCTCCTGCCTGGGTCACTCCTACCTGGGTTGCTCCTCAGGCGGCTCTCAGTGAGCTCAGAGATGGCTCCAGCTGTCGAAGTCTTTTTCAGTCGAACTACCCCAGAAGCCATGGTACTTCCTGGTTTGTTGAGCATGTCCTCACTACTGGCCCTCTTGAGCTAAGAGAGAGGTAGAGGGGAAAGAGAGAGGATGAAGAGATACATTTTCAGTAAGGAATGCTATAAACCAAGAAAGCATCCAAGCAGTACCACTTGCCCGGTAGTTACGATGCAGTAAATGGCTCTCTGAGGAGCACGATAGTGCAAAGTGGACAAGTGCAAAGCTAGACAGAACTGTGTGTATCATTTGCAGGTCTGGGTATGATCTTCCGGTACTGTTTCAGAGATTATTATAAGATTATGGGTGAATATTACCCATCATGTCACACTTCAAATAATGAATTTTTTACAACCCTGCTTTCTTGGTTAAAAAATTTTTTTCGGGCCGGTCGAGTGGCGCGATGGTTAAGAACTGGCTTGGGATGCCAGAGGGCCCCTGTTCAGATCCCACATATGAGGGCCAGTGATACTGCCCTCCACGCTAAGATGCTGAACAACAGCTCAACCTGGAGTTGGGCTGCTGTGAGTCGCTGGCGATGGCGTGGGCTGAAGCCCCTGTGGCAGTGGGTTGCCATGGGCTACCGTATGTAGCCAGCAGCCAGCATGAGTGGCCAGCAGCCACCGTGAGCAGCCATCCAGAAGCCGGCGACTCATGTGCCTCACCCGGGAAGAGCGCAATGATGGTGCCAACTTGGGCCAGTGAAGCAACGTCCTCCACAACTAGACTGAAGAACAAAAGGACAGCAACTTGTCTNAAATGTGCTTGGGAGCCCTCCCTCCTTCTGTATTTTTTGGAATAGTTTGAGGAAAAGGTATTAATTCTTTTTTGAATGTTTTGTAAAAATCACCTGTGAAGCCATCTGGTACAGGACTTTTGTTTGTTGGAAGCTTGTTGATTACTGATTCAATGTCTTTGGTAGTAATCAGTCTGTTTAGAGTTTCTGTTTCTTCTTGGTTCAGACTTGGTAGATTGTAAGCTTCTAGAAATGTATCCATGTCTTCCAGATTGTCGAATTTGTTGGCATATAATTGCTTGTAGCATTTTCCTACAATTTTCTGTATTTCTGTGGTGTCTGTTGTCACTTCTCTTTCATTTCTGATTTTATTAATTTGGGTCCTCTCTCTCTTTTTCTTGGCGAGTCTGGCTAAGAGTTTCTTGATTTTGTTTGTCTTTTTAAAAACCAGCTCTTAGTTTCATTGATCTTTTGTATTTTTTTTTTGGCTTCTATTTCATTTATTTCTGCTCTGGTCTTTATTATTTCCTTCCTTGTACTCCCTTTGGGATGTTTTGCTGTTCTTTTTCCAGTACTCTTAGGTGTAAAGATAGTCTGTTGATTTGAGATTGTTCTTGTTTCTTTAGATAGGACTGCATTGCTATGAATTTTCCTCTTAGGACTGCTTTCACTGCATCCCATAGATTTTGGGTTGTTGTGTTTTCATTTTTGTTTGTCTTAAGATAGGTTTTGATTTCTTCTTTGATCTCATTTTTTACCCACTCGCTATTTAGTAGCATGTTATTTAGCCTCCATATAGTTGTGTGCTTTCTGGGTATCTTCTTATAATTGATTTCTAGTTTCATAGCATTGTGGTCAGAGAAGATGCTTGATATGATTTCAATCTTCTTAAATTTATTGAGACTTGTTTTGTGGCCTAATATGTGGTCTATCTTGGAAAATGTTCCATGT